GGATTCCATGGTGGAGCTACACTCACAAATTAACTCTCTACCCCTGTGTATATGGGTGAATCTTCTTTGTTCCAAAATCCCAAAATCCGGAATAAAAAAATAAAATTGGATCTGGAATTTGGTCCCTTCTTTCTCTGTCTCAAGGGTTAGGGCGGCCCTGTTGAAAATCGAATCTTGGCCCTCTTCTTTCTCTATGTTGAAGAAAGCCCAAAACCTCTGACCCTAAAGTTGGGCTTTTAGACTTGAATTCGCTTTTGATGAAGATTCCGATAAATTCTGGAGCACCGATAGTCGTCGATGTGGCGGCAGCATTGAGGTACCTGGTAGGGAGAATGGGTTGCACTATTGGAAGGATGGTTTGATGGTGACGATGAAATGGTGCTGGGAAAAAGCTGTGTAAAGAAATTTTTTTAAATTGCAATTTCATCCAAAAAGTTGGATTATTTATTTTTAAATCCAAATAAATTTATGTTCAGTTATAAAATAATTTTAAAGGGCATTTGGGACTTTTCATGACAAAAAATATAACAAAGAGTCGCACACACAGCGCGTGTAACACACAATCAGCCCGCAGGGGCCTTTCTGGCTTTGACTAATTTTCACAGGGGGGTTTTTGCTAATATTTTTAACATGGGGACTTTTTTAGCCATTTGAGATTTCACAGGGGTGGATTTTGCAAAAAACCCTTCTTCAAATGATAAATATTTAGGAGTGGTTTGTTAATTAATTACTCGAGTAAGGATTTTTTTCTTAATTTAATCTTATCTTGGGGGATCTTCCTGTAATTTGCCTAATAAATTATAATTAGAGTGATATTTTTGCAATTTAAAAGAGAAAAGATGGTTAACATGTACTTACTTTTCAACACACTGATTTATTATATATACACAATATATAATAATAAATATATATATATATATATATATATATATATATATATATATATTATATATATATATATTATAAGTATGGGGATCTGCCTTTTATTTTCACTGCCTTTTCTTTCTTCTTTTCTTTTGCCCCATTTAATTGTGAAACGTTGCCGTTCCAACCCCTCCATCCAATGAGCGTGTCTAAATATTTTCTTTTCCATTTAATTTCCAAGCAGCTCGACCGTGTCGTGTATGCTTGATTTTCGATTTTTTTTAATTCGCCAACATTTGTTGACCTCCGCCGTTGATTAGTCTGCCGCCCCGCCGCCGCTCCACCCGGCACCTCTACCACGGCACCGCTTTTTTCCTCCAATAGTATGCGTCGCCGTCCTTCTCGTCTCTATCTTCAATTTCTGGCCTTTCAATTTCTGGGCTGTCATATATGGGTTTTCTGCATTTTCAGAACCAGCTTTCATCTTTTCTCTTCGCATTCAACCGGTTCCAAGATTCAACCTTTTTCCGATTCTTGGATAACCCTTTGGTTACTATCACAGCGATTCTTGGATAACCCTTTGGTTACTATCACAGGTTAGAACACTAAATTTACTTATTTTACTGATTCTTTCAACTTTCTTTCATTAATTACTGGAAAACTCATGTTAAATCCTCGTTATGGGTACTGATTCTAATTACGTATCTATCTTGTCTGTGCTTTTTTTCTTTTGTTTTCGTTTAGGGTTTTTGTAGTTCTGATTCTAATTTGGTGGGTCAGTTTCAGATTTGCAAATTGCGCCGTAAAAGGGGCTTCAAGACTGTGTTTATTAGAGGAGGGTCTGGTGGTTCTGTTAATTCCGGGCCTAGCGCAAATATTCATGGCTCCGGCGGTGGTGGAGTGAAAAAGTTTGTATTATACATGTTCTTGCGTTGTACAACTACAGTGATTCTTCTTCTTTGTAGGTGAAGTAAAAATAGGTGTTTCAGTTTTGCACAAAAATAAACACAAATTGTTTCTTACTCATATTTTTTTTCCTCCCCCAGCCACCGTCGATATGACTACGCCAATGAAGCTGCATCGCACCTCGACCTGGAGACCGGCGACTCCTCCGCTGGCGTTGATGGGGGTGGATGGGGGCAGCGATCCTGATTTCTCTGATCCTTTCGACATTGCCAACACCAAAAATGCCTCCCATGAATCGCTCAAGCGCTGGAGGGTAAGATTTCGCCCGCGTGTGTTTGTTTATTGTATTGCATTTAATTATCACATGCAATTATTTTTCTGTTTGGAGGATAAATTAAACGGTTGAATGATTAGTTGTCGAATTTATCGTTTTTGCTTTTATGGTTATGGAATTTAAAATCACTTGAAATTCGATGAATTACATGCATGTGCACCTCTTTCTGATTGTCTAAGTCTTGGTCCTTTTGCAGCAAGCCGCCCTCGTGCTTAATGCTTCGTGATGTTTCCGCTAAACGTTAGACCTGAAAAAAGACGAAGAACAAGAAAAGAGAAGACGGATGATCAGAGCACATGCTCAGGTCATAAGGGTAATATTAAAACACATTAGTCTTCATTCCGTACTTTTATTAATTCGATTCTTGATATTCTGGTGTCGGTGGTTGTAGGCTGCACTGCTCTTTAAGTTGGCTAGACAACGAGCAATAGGTATTTTTCGAGCGTTGCTTCTTTTTAAGCGGGTTTTCCTATTTCCATCTCTGCTACAAACCTGATTTGATTTTCGTCAAATCAGTATTAGGCACGACAGTAGCTCCACCATCTCCTAACGGTGATTATGAAATCGGACTCGAGCAACTTGCTTCGATGAACATGGATCATAATATTACAGCACTGCAACAATATGGAGGGGTAACACTTCCTTTTTCCCTTCACCATCTCTCTAGGAAGTTTGCTAACATATGCTATATGCATAAATATTAATCTCGACCGTCATTTTATTCAGGTTAAAGGGTTGGCAGAAATGATAAAAACAGACGTCGAAACAGGGATATACGGTGACGAAAATGAGTTATCACGAAGAAAGAATGCTTTCGGCTCAAACACGTATCCCGTGAAAAAAGGAAGGAGTTTCTTGGTAAGACTTGTCTAGAGTGTTATATTTGTTTGATAGGATGTTCTTACTTATACATTTCCACCATTTAATTATTCGACGTTTGTTTTTGCGCAGAGATTCCTATGGGAGGCTTGGCAGGATCTAACTCTCATTATTTTAATAATAATAGCCGCCGTGGCCTCTTTGGCTCTCGGAATAAAAACTGAGGTTGGCTTGAAATACAACAATACCATATTATTAAAAGAATTTATATAATTTCCTTCATATATAAATTTAAGAATTGCTCGTGTTTTCCAGGGCCTGGAGGAAGGATGGTACGACGGAGGAAGCATCACCTTTGTTTTTCTTCTGGTTATTTTTGTTACAGGTTAGAAAATTCAGATTGGTTATTTATAACCTTAGGAGAGAAGTAATATAATTGCATCTGTTGCATCTGTTGTTCAGCAACTAGTGATTATCGGCAGTCCCTCCAGTTTCAAAATTTAAACGAAGAAAAACGGAACATCAAATTGGAGGTAATATTCCAGTCACGAACTTATTCAAGCTTTTACCTTCTTGTTATTGTTCTCTTTAGAGTACTCTCATGGACAAACATATGTACAGATGATCAGAGGTGGCAGAAGAAACAAGGTTTCGCTATACGAGATTGTGGTTGGAGATGTCATACCTCTCCAGATTGGTGATCAGGTGATAACAGATCCGATTTTACTCGATATACTTTCTTGGACCACGCATCATTGTCGAAAAGAGTCTCCTAATGTATTTTACACAGGTTCCTGCCGATGGAATCTTGATAAGCGGACATTCTCTCGCCATTGACGCATCCAACATGACTGGAGAAAGCAAGATTGTGAGCTGCTTAGACTTTATTTTGAAGGTTCTATAATATTAGATAATTATATTTTTATTTCTCACACACAATGCCATTATTGCAGGTCCACAAAGACCACAAATCTCCATTTTTGATGTCTGGTTGCAAAGTAGCAGCTGGTGCCGGAACAATGATGGTAAGATATAAAACTTTCCCACCTCCAGTAAACGAATTTTCGACCACGCTTAATTTCTGTTCCAATTTCAGATGTTGAATTATTATAACAAGTTCAAATTTCTGTTTCAGGTAACTGGTGTCGGAATCAACACCGAATGGGGATTGTTGATGGCCTGTATTTCAGAAGATACCGGTGAAGAAACTCCTTTGCAGGTACTTATTGGATATAACGGTTCATCTTTTCATTGTTTACTTACTACATGAAAATAAATAAAACCAATTATGGATCCTGTTGATACATTACAGGTGCGCCTGAATGGTGTTGCAACGTTTATAGGCATCGTTGGGCTCACCGTGGCTCTCTTCGTGCTGATTATTCTCTTAATCAGGTAATTTGGGCAGTGTTTCGTGTTATCTTATTCTACGACCACTTTCTGAGTATCAGTAACATTGACAAATTAATTACCTCAGATTTTTCACGGGGACGTAAAAAAATCCCGATGGATCTGTTCAGTTCGTCCATGGAGAGACCAGTGTTGGCGAAATAGTTGATGGGGTTATACACATATCATAACTGCTGCTGTAAGTTTCTACATTTTGATACGTAATTGCGAATACGTTAGATAACCTTCCTTTTTCTGTTCATTGACTGAAGTCCTTCGTTTAGGTCACGATAGTGGTGGTTGCAGTCCCGGAAGTGTTGGGAAACAGAAGATGGATCCTCCTGAAGACGGTGCTCAGTTGCATGCAACAATTTCCTCTCTTCTAGACGAGGGACTTGCACAGAACACTTCCGGCAGTGTTTTTCTATCTAATGTATTCTTTTCATCAGTACGTGAGTGCACGTGAGCATGGATTTTTCAAGTCTTTTCGTAAATAAATGTCTGTGCTTCGGAAGGGAGTGTGATCATTAACCGAGTTTTTATCTCTTGTAGTGTTTAGGAGGGTGCAATGGAGGTTTCGGGATCTCCAACCGAAAAAGCTGTCCTTCAATGGGGTGTTAAGGTACTTTTAAGTCGTACGATAGTGTATCTATATTTCCAACTTTTAACATAACGAAATCAGAATCCGTAGTTCTCCATGTCTCTCCTTTCAATTCCATTAAGAAGCGAGGGGGTGTTGCAGTAAGAGGAAAGGTAACGATTCATTTATTCGATGCTTTTATGCTCATGTTTATAGTGGTTCTTCTTCTTTGTAGGTGAAGTAAAAATAGGTGTTTCAGTTTTGCACAAAAATAAACACATAGGTGCCTCGAGCAAATTATTCCTGCATTAAGAGAAGATTTAATTGTTTACTGATCTCGTTATAGATCTGATTTTGGGGAATAGAATATTTTCGATGCCCTTTTTGTTCGACAGGAGAGAGAGCTACTAAACTATTTCCGATGCACTGTCGTTCTAACTTCCGTTAAAGGCTACCGGAATAAAGGCATGCGGTACGAAATAAGCGATGGCTGCAGTGTGTAACTGCCTCGGCCCAAGAACTGTTTGAAGGTAATTTTTGTGCTTCTCGTATTTTATTCGATGTTAGGAACAGTAAAAGTAAATTATGCCATTTTACCTGTCTATGGCTCTGATAGGAAAAATGAACTTCAAGGGCAAGCTGAGGGAGCTCCCGGTAATGGTTATGTCGCCGGAGAACGTTTTGCTCGCACTGATAGGTATTAGCCTATATCAAGATTTTATTATTACTATTATTATTATGAAATATATATTCCTGTTTTCAGTATCTAGATTCTTGTATAATGGGAGATGGTTAGTCTAATGACAATGCGGATGAAGGTTTTACAAATGGTTTAGAGAGGTATAAATAAATTTCAAGTAGCAGTTATATGTTCCTTGAATTTCTCATTATGTTGAGTTTGCGATTTTCTTTATTTATTCTTTTGGTGCTGGGAAATTATATGACATCTATATAATATATAAAAGTTGAATTCCATAGCTAATTGATTGACATTTGGCAATTTCAATTGATGACATGTCCTCAATTTTATCCATGTGGCGAATTGATTGGTGGAAATAAATCATCAAAAAATATGTCATCATTTTCCAAAATTAAAGGTAATTAAATATATTTAATTATTTTATTAATCTATTTATATCCTACCATTTATAAAGTGCTCTAAATATATCAACTTTCTTGGAAATCCTACATAAATTTATTTTTGAATTTAATTTTATAATTAATTTAATTTGAATTTAGTTAAATTCGATTTAAAATCTTCCCTTATTATAATTGCATGATTGGTGGTGTTACGAATTTTTTTAATTTTAATTCATAAATTTGGATTTATATTAAAAAAACTTATTGCAAAATAAATTATTTGATATTATACATTTTACATGAACATGACTAGAGAATATGTATTTTTTTACTAATTTAATATTATATATTAATATTATCTGTAAAAAAAAAAAAGATACATGTTTGAATTTACTATCTTGCGAAAATTGACACTATTTGTTATGCAATGTGTAGAGTAATGTACTCCCAATTATTTACCATATTAAAAATTATACTACATGAATTTCATGTTATTATTTAAATAATTATTTTTTCTTTACTGAATCCAGTGACAATAAATTTTACGATAGATTTAACTTTTTAAATTATATACTAATTAAAATACAAATTTTATCATGATTATACTAATAAATTGAATAACCTAAGTTAAGTTTAATCAATTAATAAAAAAAAAACGAATTGATTTTATATATTTCAAAATATAATAATTCTAAATATTTGGAATTAAATTCGTTTATCCACTTTATTTAATGGCTAACATTAAGAATATCAATTGTTATGTTTAAATAATGATCTTATATACTATATATTGTATTCCACTAATAACTATTTCATTATAACTCTAATAAATATAATATAATCAAGTAAATTATCTACAACAACTCCAACTCAAAAGTATCAAAATGAGTTTGCAAATATTTATGTGCTATTTAATATTTTATTTTGATATTTATCTAAATGTATTTGCTTCAACCATAGATATTAAATAGTTGTTAATTAAATATATCTAATTGCCACATGTTATTTTCTAAATGGACACTGAGGTGGTTAAATTCATAACTCATGTTTGATATTTTATTGTGCATGATTGCATAATGTATTTTTACATTCTGAAAGATGAAATATCAAAATACCTTATTTCATAACTCTATTAGAATTAAAAATTACTATTTTGGAGTATAAAAATGGTGGTTAAATGTTTTGATAGCTCATTTAATAATCCCACTCGAAGTGCTCTTGCCGTAAATAGTTTATATTAATAATTCCTCTAATGTTTGTTTTCGTCATACACCGACCCAGGTATGATTTTCCAAGGAATTTTTTTTATTACGTGGAATATTCCAATAATGCTTATTATATACACCCTGCACACACGACATTTCTTTATGGTATTTTTTAAAGACAAAAATTACCCTCAGGTGAACTTTACACGAAATCTTTATTCTTCTTAAGTAACACTTTCACATATTTTTATTATTACCATGACAACCCTGAGGGTAATTTTTTAGTTTAAAAAGTACGATAAAAGAAATGTCATGTCTGCAAGGGTAGACTCCATATTTTTTGGGACATTACATGGAATAAAAAAGAATCCGTAAAAAAATCACACCATAAGGGGGTCGTGTAAGAGAGAAACAAACATTAGGGGGGTTTTGGTATAATCACCGATAAGTGGAGGTGTTTTCTATAATTTAGCCTAAGTTCGGAAGGATTTTCATAATTTATCTTATTAATTACAATGATTATTGTTCTTTTACGTCTTAACGTTTGTTTATACGCTTATAATATTTTAAATAATTTTAATGTCAGTTTGATAATATAATTAAATATTAATTTCTAATATATTTAATATGTGTTTTTTTATGGTTCAACTACCACACATAAGAAATGGGTTTTTTGCAAAAACCACCCTTGTGTAATCTCGAATTGCTGAAAAAACCCTTATGTTAAAAAAATTAGCAAATACCCCCCTATGAAAATTAGTCAAAGGCAATAAGGCCCCTACTATCCAAATGTGTGTAGCACGCGCGGAATGTGCGAATGGGTGAGTATTTTTTACGCAAAAAGACACAAATACCCTTTAAATTAGAAATTTAAACAATTATAAATTCACCCCATAATTTTAATCAGGCCCAAAATGAAGTTTTCAAAATTTTCAATTCAATCCCCAATATTTGTAAAAAGCCATCTTCCCCAATCAACCCAAAACCAGACCCCAACCCAAAATGTAACTCTTCATCGCTCCTATTGACAGCTCCTCTCATCCCGTCACTTTCCTCAGGCATGGCCCTCTTGAGTCTTCTCTTCCCCGGCTGCGCATTCTCGATCCCCGCCTCCATCGCATCCTCAGTCGTCGTCCATCCCCCCATCCCTTCCTAGGACCGCGCAATACTCCGCCTATTCTCCTCATCCCGCTTGACGAGCTATTTCCCTCCTCGTCTGCACCAACGACCTCGCCGGAGTTAGGGCTAACATTTTCGGAAAAACGAGCAAGAAGAGCAGATTTCTTCCTGCTTTTTATTTTTTTTTAATTTTATTTTTTATTTCTACTTTCTGATTTTGTGCAGATGAACAAAAAAGAAAAGGACTCAACTGTTCTGATTTTTTTCTTCAAGGGTAGTTCATTGAATTGATTTTTGGATTTTTTGGATTCAGAATTTGGGGTTTGAGAATTGAGATGTTGGGTAATGGAATGGGGCAGATTTTTTTTTATTAACAATAAAATATTTTGGTATTTTTATTTTTGATGGACAGCTGTTTTTGGATTACATTCATAAGGGCAATATAGCCATTTCAATGCAGTCAACGGGCTTTATTTGGATAGGGGATGGTAGGCTAAATAAAACACATCATAGGGGGGTAAATGCCAATTGTTTTAACATAAGGACTTTTATGGAAATTAGACATTTCACAGGGGGCTCAATGCAATTAACTCCATAAGAAATTTGATATAAAGGTTCGAGATTGAATATAAATGTTCTTTTTTATACTAAATAATAGATCATTGCAAAAAGAATTGTTGCAAAATCAGAATCTGTGATTAATATTAGCATTAGAATTATAATTATAATTATAATTAAGATTCTTTGAATTAGTATTAGTATTAATACTAGAAATAGGATTCAGATTGTAATTAGGATTAATATAATATTAGGATTATGATTAATATTAGTATAATAATTATAATTAAGATTATGATTATGCTTAGTACGATAATTAGTGACATGCATTAGTATTAGGATTATATTAACATTAGGATTGGGATTAGAATTACAATTAAGATTAAAATTAGAATTAACATTAGCATTATTAGTATTAAAATTATTAGGCTTATGATTAGTGTTAGGAATAGGATTATGGTTAGGATTACGATTAGAACTATTATTAGTGTTATGAATAGAATCAGGAATACGATAAGGATTTGGATAATATTACAATTACAATCATAATTAGCTTATCTAGATTAGCATTAGCATTAACATTAACAATATTAACATATTAGTATTAGTAATAGTATTAATAATAGTATTAGTATTAGTATTAACATTAGTATTATGAGTAGAATTAGTATCAGTATGAGTACCCGTATTAGTACGAGTATAAGTATTAGTATTAGTATCAATATTAATATCAGTAGTACTATTATCATTACTATCAATATTAGTATCATTATTAGTATTAGTATTAGTATTAATATTGATATTAATATTAGTATTAAAGTTAGTATAGTATTTGTATTAGTATTAGTATTAGTATTAGTATTAGTATTAGTATTAGTATTAGTATTAATATCACTATCAATATTGGTATTATTATTGGTATTGGCGTAATTGTCGTATACATCTTATCTCTTTTGCAATATTTATAAGTTGTGTTGTTGTTTGAGTAATGTGAACACTAATTTAATGTTGTTAGTGATAAACTTGCAGGTTATTTGAATATCTATTGTGTTACCTCTATGCTACTGTGTTCGTTGTTAAGTTAGTTATTTTGCAGATGATTCACATGGTGTAGTAGATTGCATTCCATGAAATAGAGTTATACCATATGTTTTAAATTATTTCACTTAATCTTCATATCGTGCTTTGCGCCGTTCGCGTATTTTTCTTTGCAATATTTAATTGAATTTCATATGTTATTACTCTGAATTAAGAGATAATTTTTTTTTCATTTCCTTCCATTTTGTTTTACTTGAATTGTTGTTGTTATAAAAAGATATTCGTTTAAATATTATTATTTTTTTCATTTTGAAACTGATATTCGTGCAACGCACGGGTGAAGTACTAGTTGGATTATGATTTATGATTCAAATCTTGCGATTCAATTCATTCATACCTGACTCGATTCAAATGTCAAAATAAATTTTTAAATATAATCAAATCGATCAAATTTTACGGTTTACGATTACCAATTTGGTTTTGGGAGAAAATGAATGAATTTACGAAAAATTTAATTTATTATATTATTTATATCATAAACTTGGGATAATTACATATTTGGTCCCTATATTACATACATTTTTTTTGAAATTTTGGTCCATAAATAAGAAATGCAACCCAAGTGGGGGTCAATTTAAAATTTCTGGAAATCCACTCCCCTAACTGAAACAGTTTTCCTTTTCCTTTTGGTCCTTAAACCATAAATGCACCACTCAATTTGAAATTTATGGAAATCTAACTGCCTGGCTGAAATGTTTTTGAAAATTACAGAATCATCCCTATACTGACTCTCATCTTCCCAGCTGCTCCACCTAAATTGCAAATTTAACCCCAAAGTGCATCTCTCTTGCAATATCAGAAATATCCGCCACCAACGCAGTATGCTTTTATTCCTCCTCAGCTATAATCGCGCGTGACTCATTTACGAAAATTCCCAATACCGAGTTTAAAATCTTATGATTTACGATTAATATCTTACTATTCAAACCGTTCATACCTAAGTCGATTCAAAAGTTCAAATAAATCTTAAATATCAACAAAACAATCAAATTTTACAATTTACGATTTAGGAAAACTATAATTTATTATATTATTTATAATAAATTTGCGAAAATTACAATTTTTGTCCCTATATTATATACAGTTTTTTATTTTGATCCTTAAACCGGAAATGCCCCCAAGTTGAGGTCAATTAGTAATTCCTGAAAATCCACCTCTCTGAAATAGCTTTGAAAATTGCAGAATCACCCCTATACTTACTCCATCTTCCTAGCCGCTCCACCCAAATTGCAAATTTGCCCCAAAGTGGATCTCTCTTTCAACATCCAAAATGTCCGCCACATTTATGAAAGTTCGCATTTCCGAGCATAAAATCTTATGATTTACGATTCAATTCATCTATATCTATGTCGATTCAAATGTTAAAATAAATCTCAAATATCAACAAATCGATCAAATTTTACGAATTTTGGTCCCTATACAATATACCTTTTTATTTTTATTTTTTGGTCCTTAAACCAGAAATGCACCACAAGTGGGGGTGAATTTGTAATTTCTGGAAATCCACCTCCCTGGGTGAATTTTTTTTGAAAATTGCAGAATCACCCCTATACTTATTCCATATTCCCAGCCATTCCACCCAAATTGCAAATTTAACCCCAAAGTGGATCTCTCTTGCAATATCCGAATTATCCGCCACCAATGCAGTATGCTTTTACTACTCCTCAGCTATAAACACGTGTGACTCATTTACGAAAATTCGCAATACCAAGTATAAAATCTTATGATTCACGATTCAAATCTTACAATTTAATTCGTTCATACCTAAGTCAATTCAAAAGTAAAAATAAATCTAAATATCAACAAAACGATCAAATTTTACGATTTAAGAAAACTATAATTTATTATATTATTTATAATAAACTTGCGATAGTGACAACTTCTGTCCCTATATTATATACATTTTTTAATATCGGTCCTGAAATCAGAAATGCCCCCAAGTGGAGTTCAATTTTTAATTTCCGAAAATCCACCTCCCTAGCTGAAAAAGTTCTGAAAATTGCAGAATCACCCCTATACTTGCTCCATCTTTTTAGCCGCTCCACCCAAATTGCAAATTTGATCCCAAAGTGGATCTCTCTTTCACTATCCAAAATATCCGCCACATTTACGAAAATTCCCAATACCTAGCACAAAATTTTATGATTATCTATGTCGATAGAAATGTTAAAATAAATCTTCAATATCAATTAATCGGTCAAATAAATCTTCAATATCAATTAATCATTATACCTTTTTTTTTTTTTTTTTTTTTTTTTTTTTTTTTTTTTTTTTTTTTTTTAATTTTGTTCCTTAAACCAGAAATGCACCCTAGTGGGGGTCAGTTTGTAATTTCGGAAAATCCACCTCGCTGATTTAAACAGTTTTGAAAATTGCAGAATCACCCGTATACTTGCTCCATCTTCCCACCAGCTCCACCCAAATTGCAAATTTAACCCCAAAATGGATCTCTCTTGCAATATCCAAAATATCCGCCACCAAAGCTGTATACTTTTACTACTCCTCACCTATAAACGCGTGCGACTCATTTACGAAAATTCGCAATACCGAATATAAAATCTTATGATTTACGATTCAAGTCTTACAATTTAATTCGTTCATACCGAAGTCATTTCAAAAGTAAAAATAAATCTTAAATATCAACAAAACGATCAAATTTTACGATTTACGATCTAAGAAAACTTTAATTTATTATATTATTATAATAAACTTATGATAATTACAGATTTGGTCCCAATATTATATATCATTTTTAATATCAGTCCTTAAACCGGAAATGCCCCCAAGTGGAGTTCAATTTGTAATTTCCGAAAATCCACCTCCCTAGCTGAAATAGTTCTGAAAATTGCAGAATCACCTCTGTATTGCCTATACTTGCTCCATCTTCTTAGCCGTTCTACCCAAATTGCAAATTTGACCCAAAAGGGGATCTCTCTTTGACTATTCAAAATATCTGTCACATTTACGAAAATCCGCAATACCGAGCACAAAAATTTATGATTTCAAGTCTTACGATTCAATTCATTCATATTTGTGTCGAATGAAATGTTTAAATAAATCTTAAATATCAACTAATCGATACAAAATTACGATTTTTAATCCCTATATTATTATACCTTTTTTTAATATTGTTCCTTAAACCAGAAATGCACCCCAGTGGGAGTCAATTTGTAATTTCTGGACATTTACCTCGCTGACTGAAACAGTTTTAAAAATTGCAGAATCACCCCTGTTCTTACTCCATCTTCCCACCCGCTCCACCCAAATTGCAAATTTAACCCCAAAGTGGATCTCTCTTGAAATATCCGAAATATCCGACACCAACGCAGTATCCTTTGACTCCTCCTCATCTATAATCGCGTGTGACTCAGTTACGAAAATTCGCAATACCGAGTTTAAATCCTTATGATTTAAGATTCAACTCTAACGATTCAATTCGTTCATATTGAAAAATTAAAATAAATCTTAAATATCAACAAAACAATAAAATTTTACGATTTACGATTTAAGAAAACTTTAATTTATTATATTATTTATAATAAACTTATGATAATTACAGATTTGGTCCCTATATTATATACCATTTTTAATATCGGTCCTTAAACCGAAAATGCTCCCAAATGGAGGTAAATTTGTAATTTTCAAAAATCCACCTCCCTAGCTGAATCAGCTCTGAAAATTGCAGAATCACCCCTATACTTACTCCATCTTCTTAGCCGCTCCACCCAAATTGCAAATTTGACCCCAAGTGGATATCTCTATCACTATCCAAAATGTCCGCCACATTTAGGAAATTTCGCAATACCGAGCAAAAAATCTTATGATTTACGATTAAAATCTTACGATTCAATTCATTCATATCTATGTCGATAGGAATGTTAAAATAAATCTTAAATATCAACTAATAGATCAAATTTTACGATTTGTGGTCCCTATATTATTGTACCTTTTTTTTTATTTTGTTCCTTCAACCAGAAATGCACCCAGTGGGGGTCTGTTGGCACCAGATTTCCACGAAGGAAGAAATCCGCCTCACTTGGGAAGTAAAGATTGGCTAAATATTTGTTCCCATGTTTATTTTGGAAATTTAGAGTCCTACCTTTGTAATACTTTAGGACTTAGATTTATTTCCTAGTACTTTATTCTTGTTAGGAATCTTTTATGGTTATCTAGATTAGAACTAGATATTGACTAGGATTCTGTTTCCTAGTTATTCGATTCCTTTGGAAGACAGGTCTTTGGAGGCCCATCTCACGCCTATATAAGGCTCCTCACCTCACAAAGACCGTGACACTTTTTTGGGAGAAAAATCACTCCGTTGCTTTGAAGAATCGCTGAAACGTTCTGCTGAACAGAACTGTGCCATCGTTGGATGTGTCAACATATACAGATTGGCTGTATAGATCTCTTGGGAGATCAACCGCGTCACTGAAGGGAGTTCAGGCCAGAAAGGAGTTCTAGGCACGCGGTGTGGAGCTGTTGTTGGAAGAAACACGAAGTTCGAGTTGTGTACAAGAACGGCATATTACATAAAGAGGGAGTCTTTAGTGTTTTTAATAAGTCCTATTAATGTACACTGTAAATCTGAACTAGTGAAATCGTGTTTGCAGATCCACGTGGATGTAGGGCACAATTGTGTCTGAACCACATTAATTCTTGTGTTTTGTTTATTTACTTTAAGTAGAGTATTACTGTGACAACACAAGATTTATAGTTGTAACTGTATACTGTTTCTACAACTTAACTGTTACAACTTAGATCAACTGATTTCTATAGGCATATAAATCAACAATTGGCATCAAGAGCCTCTCACTAGATATACATAGTGTGTGATTTTGGGAATTTGATTTATTTGCCATTTATTATTCGTAGGTACTATGAGTTCTCATATGGAAGGAGGTTCCACGACTCGCCCACCACTACTCACGGGAACCAACTACTCCTATTGGAAGACTAAGATGAAGATGTTCATAAAATCAATGGATGAAGATGCATGGCGAACAGTGTTAACTGGATGGAAGCGACCCGTTGCCACAGATGAGAAAGGGATTGAAACTGAGAAGCATGAGAAAGACTGGAGCAAAGCCGAACAAATTGCAGCAAACATGAATTCCAAGGCCTTGAATGCTATATTCAATGGAATTGATATCAATCAATTCAAGATAATCTCTGCGTGTGAGTGTGCTAAATAAGCATGGGAGAAACTCCAACCAGCATACGAGGGAACTGCTTCAGTCAGACTGTCCAAACTTCAAATGCTTGCCACCCGGTTTGAGGATCTTCGTATGGAAGAAAATGAGACCGTGAGCGAATTCAACTCCAAATTATGTGACATATCAAACGAAGCTCATGGCCTTGGTGAAACTTATCCTGAAGTTAAACTTGTACGAAAAGTGCTAAGATCCATGCCAGACAGATTCGCGTACAAGATCACTGCCATAGAGGAAGCAAGTGATGTGGACTCATTGCGACTTGAGGACCTGATTGGAAATCTACAAACTTTTGAAAACAAGTTGAACATCAGCAGAATGGACAAGGAAAGGAAAATCGCCCTGCAGTCTGTATCGGACACCACAACATCTGTGCCTACTGCTCTTATGTCAGCACTTGAAGTCAAGCTCACAAAATCCATGTCCTTAATAGCAAAAAATTTCGGAAGATTCATCAAGAAAAATGGACATCCTACAAACTCTGAGAGAAAACCCAGGACATCTACAGATAAGCCAGAAGTCAAGAAGGGAATTCGATGTAGAGAATGTCATGGTTATGGTCATATCCAAGCAGAATGTGCTAACACACTAAAAAAACAAGGAAAATCACTTGCCACAACTTGGAGTGATGACACCTCAGAGTCACCAAGGATTTGTTGAAATATTGGCAGGACTATGATGGTGAAAGAGCAAAAAGGGTGAGGAAAAATCTTTTTCCAAACGTACATGCTAATGATCACCAAGATGTTTCACCGCCTGTTAGCACAGTGTTTGATGCCTCTGTCAGTAAGTTAAATCGCACTGCATTTCTTCCCTCTAATAGATTAGATGAAATCATAAATGCTCATCCTTCCAATTCCAAAAGAATTGGGTTAGGGTATACTGATGGACAATCTAATGCTAACACTGGGTCAAACCAAAAAATCAGATTTGTCAATTCCACATCTTCTTGTGTGAACAACCAAACCTATCCTACTAAGTTTATTCCTATCTGTCACTTCTGTCACAAAATAGGGCATGTTAGGCCTAAATGCTTTAAATGATGGAAATTGATAAATAAACAGTTAGCATATCATACATCCAAATCCGCTGCGTGGGTTACTTACTCTCAAAGTAACAACTCTCATAAACAAAGGATGACAAATGATAGTACTAACTGCTGGTCAGCTATTTTATCTTTAAATGCATGTGCTACTAACTCTTGGTATTTTGACAGTGGATGCTGCAAACACATGACAGGTGAAAGGAATTTCCTATCAAATCTGCATAACATGTCTAGTGGACAGGTTACTTTTGGAGATGGAAATAAGGCTTATGTAAGGGGAAAAGGAGACTTAAATGTTGGAGGGTTGCCAAACTTGAACAATGTTCTGTATGTGGAAGGTTTGAAATCAGATCTTCTGAGTGTAAGTCAGTTGTGTGATCTATACGACTCTGTATTGTTCACAAAGCGTAAGTGTGAAGTATTTGATGAAAGCAAAAATTGTGTTCTAACTGGATACAGGTCATCAGACAATTGCTACAAAATTGATCAGATTGACAAATCGGATCATTGTCATCACACTTCTTCTGATCTCACTGATCTCTGGCATCATAAACTAGGTCATTTAAATTTTCATGATCTAATCCGTCTTGTTAATACAGGTTGCGTGAAAGGGATACCCCAACTGAAGACTGACACACCTGAGTCATGTGGTGACTGTCCTCTGGGAAAACAAGTACGGACATCTCACAAGAACACAGATCATGCAGGGACTAGCAGGACCTTGGAACTCATTCACATGGATCTAATGGGACCAATGCAAACCGAGAGCATTGGTGGAAAAAGGTATGTTCTAGTTTGTGTTGATGATTTCTCAAGGTTCACTTGGGTACGCTTCATTAGGGAAAAGTCAGATACCTTTTATGAGTTCAAAACTCTGTGCAAGAAATTGCGAATTGAAAAATTCAGCAATATTGGAAGAATTCGAAGCGATCATGGGAGAGAGTTTGAAAATTCTTCATTCACAAAATTTTGTGATAAACACGGTATCTCCCACGAATTCTCAGCACCAAAGACACCACAGCAGAATGGTGTGGTAGAAAGAAAGAACAGAACTCTCCAAGAAATGACTCGCGTAATGCTCATCTCAGCAAGAGTGGCCACAAAGTTCTGGGCTGAAGCTATGAGCACTGCCTGCTACACCATAAACCGTGTACACCTCAGACCAGGTACCAAGAAAACTCCATATGAAGTATGGAAAGGTAAGAAGCCTAACTTAAGTTACTTTCATGTCTTTGGGTGTGAATGTTACATCCTGAACGATAGAGAACAACTCGGTAAGTTCTCTGCAAGAGGAGACAAAGGTACCTTTCTTGGTTACTCTTTAAACAACAGGGCATATCGCGTTTATAATGAACGTACAATGACTGTTATGGAATCCATTAATGTAACATTTAACGAAGTTTTATCTGCAGAAATGGATGAGGAAGACGCTAATCCTGGAAAAACCATTGTACCAGTACAAACGCCAGGCGTCAGCACAGAGGAAGTGACGTCAGTGAAGGAAAGCACAGAAGGCGTGCCAGCAGCGAAGGAAAGCACATAAGAAAGAAAAAGACCATCAAAACGAGTTGTAAAAAATCATCCTTCTGAACAGGTGATAGGAGAATTTGATGAAGGTATGAAAACTCGAAATAAGCCCAAAGTTGATTACCAAGAAATGGTCAGGTATGTTTGCTATACTTCTACTATAGAACCAAAAAACATCAAAGAAGCAATTCTTGATGAGTATTGGGTACAAGCTATGCAAGAGGAACTTGAGCAGTTCACTCGACATGAAGTGTGGGAACTTGTTCCACGACCCGACCAGGTAAACGTTATAGGTACAAAATGGGTGTTCAAAAACAAAACGGACGAACTTGGTAATATAACTCGCAACAAAGCTCGTCTTGTTGCTCAAGGGTACACCCAAATTGAAGGAGTAGATTTTGACGAAACATTCGCTCCGGTAGCTCGTCTTGAGTCAATACGTCTTTTACTCTCAGTTGCTTGTGCTTTAAAGTTTAAACTCTTCCAAATGGATGTAAAAAGTGCGTTTTTAAATGGTCTCTTAAATGAAGAAGTGTATGTCGAACAACCAAAAGGTTTTCAAGATCCACTCAAACCTCAACATGTCTATAAACTTAAAAAGGCCCTATACGGTCTCAAACAAGCCCCTAGGGCTTGGTATGAGCGACTTACGACCTTTCTAGTTGAAAAAGGATATAGAAGAGGTGGGGTAGATAAAACACTATTTGTCAAAAATTTTAAAAACGAAATCCTTTTGGCTCAAATCTATGTGGACGATATTGTTTTTGGGTCTACTTCTGACCACAAGAAAGATGAGTTTATCTCTCAAATGTCAAACGAATTTGAAATGAGTATGGTTGGAGAGCTAACTTACTTTCTTGGATTGCAGGTAAAGCAGATGAAGGATGGAATTTTCATCACACAAAGCAAGTATGCCAAAAATCTGGTAAGTAAATTTGGGTTAGATAATGCAAAACCTCTAAAAACTCCGATGAGTCCTACTGAAAAGTTGGGACGCGACTGTGAGGGCACAGACGTGGATCCCACATTATACAGGAGTATGATTGGAAGTTTACTTTATCTTACTGCCAGTTGACCTGACATCTGTTTCAGTGTAGGAGTATGTGCTAGGTACCAATCAAATCCTAAAGAAAGTCACTTAAGTGCAGTCAAACGCATCATACGATACGTGAGTGGAACTCTTGAACTAGGAATATGGTACTCCAAAGATACTAATACTTGTCTTGCAGGATACAGTGATGCTGACTGGGCAGGAGATGTGGATGACAGAAAAAGTACTACTGGAGGCTGTTTCTACATGGGAAACAACCTAGTATCTTGGTACAGTAAGAAACAAAACTGCATCTCTTTATCAACAGCTGAATCTGAGTACATAGCTGCAGGTAGTTGTTGCACTCAACTTCTTTGGATGCAACATATGTTGAATGACTATGGCTTTCATGAAAAACTCGTTCATATATTCTGCGATAATGAAAGTGCCATAAATATCTCAAAAAATCCTGTCCAGCATTCTAGAACCAAACACATAGATCTTCGACACCATTTCATCAGGCAATTAGTTGAGCAGAAACGTGTGACTATAGAGTATGTGTCCACAGACAATCAATTAGCTGATATTTTTACAAAGCCCCTCGATTTCCTTAGGTTTGATTCCTTGCGTAAAGCGCTTGGGATTTGCCATGTGCAAAACTGAATTTTCTATGATACGTGCAATTAAAGTTTGTGTCCGGATTGCACTTGAATTTTTTAATCGGACATTATATGTGTCACCTACAAATGTGACATCACTGTTTTTGGACTAGGAATGATTGGAGGTTCATTTTGACTAATTGTTTGTGTGTTAGTTTTGGTGAATTAATTTTTGTTTCCACAGATAACCATGATAGAAGTGTGCTGCCCCCTCTATCGGGAGTGATCAATGACTATGACCTCATTCATCTCAAAGATCATACCTCTATTGGGAGAATTATGCTACCGCATATGCATCTCTGACTTCTATTTAAAAGCTATGTGGATTCTTAAGGAAGTTGCCCTCCTAATGTTTGCTTGAACATCATATCAACAAAAAAAAGGGAGGAGAAGAAAAATTAGTTCGAACTCAAAAAAAAAAAAAAAAAAAAAGAGGGGTTGGGATGATATTCAAGCATATATTAGGAAATTCTCCTTGAAGTCCACGATCGAATTGCTGTGCTAATCGCATATGCATTCATAACCCTTAAAAATTACCTAAATTATGGTTTCTTGAGTATGGTCATGGGGTTATAGTTATATCGTGCATCCAAGAGTTTGCTAGGTGGCCTTCTATTGTGATTCTCTTTAAGATTATCTAATTAATTCATGAAAACCAAGCCCTCAACTTTTAATCTTGTGATCTTCTTGATTTTCTTTTCCTTAAAAAGTTTTTTTTTCCTTTTAAATTTTTTTTTAAATCTTTGGGCTTTGTGAATTTTTGGCTCTAGTTGTCTCTGGCCACGTGGCTATAAGCCATGTCATCTGCCTTCTTTATTTTTTGATGTTTCGTGTGGAGAATATCTTGCTTGTTATTGGTGGCGGATTTTGTGGGATCTTATTCTGATTTGAAAATATCCAGTATCCGAAGAGTCCTCTCTTTTTCTGCCTATTTTCTCGGTCCCTGTGCTTTAAATATCCGCCTCTTTTAGGGTTTGCTTCTCACACTTTATTCTTTCTCTTCTTTTCTTCCGCCGTTCCTTTTCTATTTTCTTGTTTTTCTCTGTATTCACTATTCACCATGGGCAAGAATCGATCTGCTGAGGGCTCCAAGAAACGACGCCACACTCCATCTGCCTCGCCTGCTGAGAAGAAGTCCAGAAAATCTTCAAAGAAAGTCCGCCCTACTGTTGTGGAAATCTCTCCTGTTCCCGTCACCACAGATCTGGACCCCGTCCCTTCTCCTGTGGCTTCACCATCACCAAGTCTCAAGACAAGTGATGTGCCTGACCCTGTCGACACCGGCGTGGCTGTTCTTGACGGTGATAGCCTCTCTGGAACTCCACAAGATGATCTGCCCTCAGATCCAGAGGTTGCCCCCCGCAGTGTTGAGTTTCCTGTTCAACTCCGCCGCTCCAAT